TTCCAGTGAACTTAAATTATAAAAAGCAAGGAAGGTGGCACATTGTGTCACTTGGTGGTAGATTGCCTCTAGTGTTTCAGTTCATCTCAAATTCATTTTAAATTAATTGTAAAATAACCTTGGCAATGTGAAAATCTTCAAAGAACTGGATGGAAATCTAAACAGATAAATCGATATTCTCGAGTCCAAATTCAATGTGACAACTTGATTATTTTCAACTAGGCTTATAAATCATATTTATTTCTTGTTGTTGCTTAGTAGATCCTTGCAACTCTTGGAATCATATTTCTTCTATATACAACTTTTTTCACTTAGGAATTGGGGGGGGGATTGCTTTCCACAAACCTGCTTTGAGTATTCACTTAGGCAAATACCTTCCCATATATTATTTTCAGCAATAATACTTACTACACTATTATGTGAGAGCTTTGTTCCAGAATTTAAGATGAAAAAGAAGCCCAAACAGTTTTAGATAAATCTGCTTCTCAGTGGTGTGTGTATGTATGTATCTGCCTTCAAGCCAGCTATTAACTTATAGCAATCCCATGAAATTTCATAGGTTTTTCTTAGGTAAGAAATATTCAAAGGGGTTTTTTGCCAGTGCCTTCCTCTGGAATATAACCTACAACACCTGGTATTATATATATATATATATATATATATATATATATATATATATATATATATCCTGGGGCTTCTCCTTTCTCCTTCCACTGAGTCTGGCCCCACTAACACCATCTTTTCAGTGTTTTAAAAGGGGTGGTGTCACTGCCCCTTAGGGTATCACATGGTGTAGTCCGCATTCCCAGCATTCCCCTAGTGATGCCCCTGCTGACCGAATTATGCCTTGTAAAAAGAAAACAAAAATACCTAAATCCATAAATGATTTTACAGCTTTTATACAGCTAAATGTCACTTATTGCAACACAGCTCCATTAATGGCACTAGAAGTCTGCACTGCAGAAATGGTCCAGCTTGGCACCACTTTAATTGCCATGGCTTAGTGCCATGGAATTCTGGGACTTATAGTTTGTTGTGGCACCAGAGCTCTCTGACAGGATAAGCTAAATGTCTCACAAAACCAGAATTCCATAGTACTGAGCCACGGCAGTTGAGGTGGTGTCAATCTGGATTGTTTCTGCAGTGTGGATGCAGCTTGGGTTAAAGCAGAAACAGAAGGGGATAATTTGAGAGTCCAATTAGGGGATTGTGATTGGGAAGATATAGGATATTGCTATAACTTATTCTGCTTATGCTGGCTATCAGGTGATAAAATACCTGAGCAAAGAAGCAATTTTGCAATTGTTGAAATGAGAGCCATGTAGGGCTTAGGAAACCCATGTTGACCCCGCCCCCCCGAGAGCTGCGGTCCTCTGGGAGGAATCTGCTGCAACCTATAAAGACCAGGCTCTTGCAGACCTCCCAGAGGACCTTTTCCGCAACTGCTCCCAGACTCTGGAACAGCCTGCCAGATGAGATTCATCATATTACTACTTTGGCTGCCTTTAAAAAGGCAGTAAAAATGGATCTTTTCCGGCAGGCCTTCCCAGAACATCTCCCTGATCAATAAATGGTGACTCTGGCTTTATCCTTGACCGCCATGATGTGTCCCCCTGTCAATTTTTGTTTTGTTTTGTTTTAACTGCTATATTCATATTTTAATTCTAAATTAGTTTAATTCTGTTTTATGGGGGGGAGGGCTGGGGTTAGGGTTGTGATTTTAACTTGTTCTTTTTAATTGATGTACGCCGCTCCGATTGCTATGCAGAGAGGCGAGATATAAATAAATTTATTATATTTTTATAGCAGCATGGTGCGCTTCCTGTACTTTCTCCTGAATTCATCATTGAATTGCCTTCTTAAAACTATGGACTCATTCACCTGCTTACCATGTTTGCCTGTAAGATGCTTCAGGACTGCAGTACAAATTTCCTCCTGTTCCTGTGTTCCTGCATAAGCTTTTCTTGTCCTTTAAAAAACAACAATTTTCCCCTCCTCTTCCTCTTCCTGAATTTGGGATGGCCTGACTTGTTTGATTAAAGGTTGTCATGGACAGAATTATTAATTATCTGTTTAAAAGGGATCTAGGGTATAAAGAACATTGGAAAGACATGCTCCTTACTGTAGATTTTCCAGATTCCCATTGCTGGTTGGTTATTTTCAGAAAGGGTCTGGGTTATTGACAGCATGCTCAATCAGACTGAAGTTTTGTGTCAGGCTAAACTTTGAGGTACACGAGAGATGTCTATGTAGAAAACAGAAGGAACAGTGGAAACTTATGTCCCGTATTTTAACACAGTATCACCAACATGTGGGAGAACAATTGTTATCCATACTCAGTGGAAAAAGAACAAGAAACATTGAGAATAAGGCCTGGTGTAATATATTCAGGCTGCCTTTCTAAATATAAGACCTGTTCATAACAGAGGTCATAAAATTGCCTTTATAAAAGGTTTTCAAGGACTATCCCAACAAACATCTGTCAGGGATGCGCTAAAGCATTCTTTCCCAACTAGTTGTCTTCCAGATGTGTTTGGATTACAACATCCATCAGCTTCTGTCACCATGGTCAGAAACGCTGATAGATGACATCCAAAACATCTGGAAGGCACATGGTTCAAAAAGGGTGCTAAGAAGGATGAGGTGTCCCAGTGTTGCCTTTAGGCTATTTTTGAAATTCACCCTCACTCCAATATTATTTTGTACACTCTACAGATAGAGTTGTCCTGTCTCACTTCCCAAAATCTAGTTATCCAATTAGAATATTATGAATAGTATAATTTTCATGCTAATTGTGCAAATTCAACACATTAATTGTTGCATTTTTTTTCTATTACCATCATTCAATTTTAAAGCAACCAGTGTTCTGAGAGAACCAATCTAGAATAATGTTGAAGTGGTGAACTTGGAACAGGGAAGACCTAACTTCAAATCCTCTTGAGCTTGGGCCATCCCGACCTCTCAGCAAAGACAGCATACAGAGTTGTTGTGGTGATTAATAGGCAGTGGAGGACCATGGGAAATGGCCATACACATTCCTTGTATAGTACAAATAAAAACAACTATGTTTTGTTATGCACTGACACTACCATTGTTATTCCTATCAGATCACTGCACATTTTTTGCCATCATTTTTTTTTTACTGATGGCAAGAAGCTACAGATCCACGAATATTCCACCAGAAACCCCATGAGACTGTCTGCCATTTGATTCACAGCAATGTCAAGGGGGAAGCAAGGAATGATTTATTCCAGAGATACAGATTACATATTTTATTATAACTAGAAAATAGCCTAGTTTTACTTTTTTTTCATCCTTTTAGACTTCTCTGCTAATACTTATGTTAATCAGCTCTTGATAATAGGATATCTATGCCACCACTCAATTACTGTTTGTTAATAACCAGTTAATGTTTGTCCTTTTTTACATTTCTCTTCCCTCTCACCTAATTACAGCAGGACCTCTGTATCTGCTGGTCCAGCCTCCCCATTACTAAAATCCACATATGCTCAAGATCCATTATCCCTAACAGTGGCGTGTGCACATGGCCACACTGCCATCAGGGGCAGCCCCCACTGTCCCCAATGGCGGTGCATGTGGTCATGCCACCATCAGGGACAACGGGACTTCAGGTAAGCCTCCGTTGCCCCAATGGCAGCATGTGCATGCAGCCACACCACCATTAGGGACAGTGGGATTTCAGGTGAAGTCCCGTTGTCTCTTATGGCAACATGGCCATGTGCACACACCACCACTGGGGACAACACAGACTTGCTGTCTGCAGATGCTTGAATCCGTGGATGACAAGTCAGCAGATACCAAGGTCCCACTGTACATTCTTCACCTATCACACACACATACTCCTTCTTGGTTGGGAAAGGAGAGTGGGAACATACAAAAATGTTAAAATTGTGTTTTTTAAAATTCTATAAACCATTCTGATGATTTGCTAGTTAAAACTGGGATATAAACTAAACAAACATACAAACAAAGATTTATCTGCTGTTCTCTATCGCCCAGCAACTGTCACTCAAGGGCATTCACTTCTGCTGCCCATGGAGGTTTCATTTAGTTATCCTTGACAATAGACAGTGGGGTAACCTTATTCTCCACAAATGTATCTGATCTCTTTGTAAAGCCATCTAAAACAGTTATTGTATCTTGTGGTAACATATTCCTTAAGTTAATTATGGAATCTGTGAAAAAAACATTGTGTGTGTCCCTCAATTGCTTCTCAATCGCATCATATTTTTAAGGTGTTTACATATCTGGCCTTAATTCTCATTTTTACAGCAAATCTGTAAGGTTGAAGATATTGGGAATGCCTGCATGGCTAATTCTGTGCCTGGCTATCTTCGCGCCATTAATTCCAAATGAATTAGACTGAAACCTAGCTAAGTAAATAGTGTGTATGTGTGTTTAAATTGGGAAATACTAATATTAAATGCAGCACATATTTCTATGCATGATCAGATCTCATTTTGACATAGATGACAAAGGATATAATCTGACATGGTTCTGGGGGTATGGCACTGAAGCCTCCTTTGGTGAGAAATGCATACTGAACCTTGGCCCAACACTTGATGTTGTCTTGGTAACAGGAACCGGAAGTTGCTGACAGTGCATGAAAGCCTTCATATGGGGTACCAAGGAGACAGAGCGATCCCTGTATTGCAAACTCAGTGAACAAGCAAGGACCCTTTCAGTTGGATCTGAAAGGAGAACACCTGACCAGCAGCAGGCCCATGCATGTCAGGAAGACAGATGGGCTATGACTTTGTCTTCCCTCTGATATCCAATTTCTAATGTGCAAGGAGTTTTTGATCACACACGTACACACTTCTTTCAACAGGATAGATATGTTTTTGTTCCTGTTGTATGCCTTCAAGTCATTTCCGACTTTGGCATCCCTAATGGTTTTCTTCACAAGATGTATTCAGAGGAGGTTTGCCATTGCCTTCCCCTGAGGCTGAGACCGTGTGATCAGTCAGTGGGTTTCACAGCCAAGCTGGGAATTGAACCCTGGTCTCCAGAATTGTAGACAAGCACTCAAACCACTACGCCGCACTGGATCTCATCCAGGTTTTTACTATTATTTAAATGTATATCCTGTCTTTCTTCCAGTGAACTCAAGGTACCATGTGCAGCTCTGTTCCTCCCTACTTTATCCTCACTAAAGTAGGCTCTTGGTATCCAGTGGGATTTGGTTATAGAACACACACTTCCCTCCTTGGATACCAAAATCTGTGGATGCTATTAAAAACAATGGCATAGTAAAATTGTGTCCCTTATATAAAATGGCAAAATCAAGCTTTGCTTTTTTATATATTTTTTTCAGAATATTTTCAAGCCATGGATGTTTGACTCCATGGATACAGAGGGCTGACTTTACATCCCAATGAGATTAGTTAGTCAAAACAAGAAAGTGACCAGTCCAAGGTCACCCAGGTTTCAGGGCCTGGGGGGACTAATAATTGGACATCCTATGTTGCTTTCCAGCACTCTAACCAGTATACTACAGGTTCTGAAACTCACTATTTACTCTTCATAAATGAAGCATAGCAATAATTTATCACTGCAGTGATAATTTAAAAACCAAAACACAAGCAGATAGTGTTACAAACAGTGACCAAGTCCTGTAAACCAAGATGTTCCTGGTTCAAATTTTATCTTTGTATAAGAAGTTACTTATGTGACTTTGGACATGTTGGAGTGTCTATTCGGTATAAGGATAACAATAATTCTGGTTTGCCTTATCAGGTTGCAAGAGTTACTTTTATGTGAAGCATTTCAAACACTAAAGTGGTACAAATGGTAGAGGAGGAGAAGGAGGAGAAGGAGACATTTTGTGGATTTGGTGTGCATATGTGATGAAATTCTTTTTCTCATGATTTATGCTTTATGTCACTAACCCAGTGAACAAGCCAAAATACTATTGAAATCAGTGTTTGGAATAAGTGAAAACAATCAAAATGCTACACATGTACAAGGCATGTGAGTTGTGTTTTAAGCAGAGGTATATACAGCCAACTGTAGGGGATGCAGGTCATTTGTAACTGCATCTAGGCAAGGGAGAATGGCAGTAAGGTCTATCAAAGCAAGGGGAAACGGATTCAGTGAGGAGAAAGGAGACTCAAAGGCTGCATTGAGAAGGCCGTAGGGAACAAACAGAATAAGATGGAAGTTGCCATGGAAACCAGAAAGGATACAATCTGACTGGGCAAAAATGAAATAGTAGGTCCTAACAAGGAGTGATAGCAAAGGGGAGTAGAATGAAGGCACCAAGCAGCAGCTTTGACTGAAGTGACAACAGACACTTTATGTTCTTATCTGCACTTTCAGTGGTAGGTAGATGGCATTGACCCAGTTCCTCCTGAACTCGTATTGCTAAGATTTCATCAGGTTTTCATAGAGAAAAGCAGGCATAGTCAGTGCTCTTAATATGCTCTGAGAAACCTATTACTGCCATCATTTTTTTCTTATCTGATTCTGGCTGACTTTACCATTCCTGGGAGTGAGCTACTATGTGTACTTTCAGTTGGTTGAATAACTTTTCTAGCTTACATGTACAAGTCCAAACACCAGATGCCTCACTGCCACTAGGGCTGCCAGAGTGGAAACAGGAGATGGATCCTGTTCCTTTCATGATTATGTAGAAGAGGGAATTTGAGCAAGTGTTGCTTGTCATACAACCAGGTAACAAGCAATGCCTGCTAAAATTCCTTCTTCTTCACAACCATTAAAGGTACAGGAGCTATCTCCAGTTTTTACTCTGTCAACTCTAGTGGCACCACCTCCTTTCTACTTTTCTTAATATTATATTATCAACATACAAGAATCTTCAGATGATAACATGAGCAAAATAATGTTTTGCCTGAGGGATTATAATAGAAGAAGAGAGGACATAAAGAAAGGTGAGAGGAAATTGCATCCCATCCTAACCAGGCTGCCTCTGTTGTTGTTGTGTGTCTTCAAGTTGTTCCTGACTTATGGTGACCTTAAGGGGAACAGGATTTTCTGGGGCTGAAGGTATGTGACCTGCCCAAGGTCACTCAGTGGGTCTCTATAACTGAGTGGTGATTCAGACCTTGATCTCCAATGTTCAATCCACTACACCATACTGGCCACCTTTATAAGTACCAGATTACAATCACCATAATCCATTCTGTCTGGAAATGATTCAGGTTGTCATAAAATACAACTGGAAGGTACTTGGTTGGGGAAGACTGATCAAATGCTATCAAGGATCTTCATTTAAAAAAAACATATGTAGCTTTAGAGGAGAGATCTGAAGGGAGAGAGAAAAGCAGCATTCTAGTATCATATACAAACATGCTGCTTGAAAATACAAGACTTATAAGAATGCTGAAGAGCAGTTCAGTTTATTTTCCTCTGCACCTTCATGGGTAAACTCTAACCCTTCATTCTTTGACCCCAAGGAAGCAAGTTAGGGATTTAAGTAGGTCTCAGTAATTCTTGATAAGCTGAAGACTACATATCTAGAAGGACTTCAAAAGCATAAGGGATAGCAAAGGAAAGTACAATCGTGGTCAGTTCATTATGGCACTCAGGTAAAATCATGCTGGGTGCAGCACACCTGAAAGCAGAATGGTAGTCTGTTGTCCTTGCAATCTTCTTATAAACAGCTGTAGGCTGAAGTAGTCCTGCATTCAGACTGCTGTTTCCTTCTTTGCCCCATCCAAGAACATTGTAGTTGTTCAAACAAGCTCCACTATATGATTCAGGTGCTGACTTTGGTGAAACACTAGTGGTTCCCCAGCCCTGCCTCTTAGACTGAGGGGATGAGAGTCCTTACCACTTGTTAGCTAATCTGGATTCTATTGGAGATCACCTTTATCAGTTTGTGGTCACCTGACTGCCCAACTCATGGTGATGGTTAAACCAGACAGCCTAGTTAAACTCAACACTCTACTCAAGAATTCTTAAGCATTGGAATTTGAAGATACAGTCACCCCTCTATTCTCATGGACTTGAAGTTTGCAGTTTTGGGGTCAACCTCCATTTAAATCAATGGAAGGCGTGTCCCATTCAAGCCTATGTGCTTGAATATTTGTGAATCTCTATTTTCACGGGGGGGGGGGGGGGGGAGGTCCGGAACAGATCCCTCATGAAAATGGAGGGCCAACTGTACTTATATGCAAAGTGAGCAAGCTCTTTGGTACTATTTTAAGCTATTTATTATATGTAGATATATAGATATGCAAACATATATATTCTTCTTTAGAGTGAAACACAGACGTGCCAATGACTGGGTGCTTAGCTTCATTACATTACATTACATTACATTACATTACATTACATTACATGCAGGGCATCATACATTCATATCATACAGCTATCCACATGTTACACTTTCATAAAAACTTTCCTAGGACTGCTTTTATCTTTCTGCATCTATAACAGGCTTTGCAATAGTTAATTTGTAAATGAACAGGACCTTTGAAAAACCATTTACATCTGTCATTTATCCATCAGCATCATAGGGTTATTTCATACTTTTCTTAGTGTCTGTTAAGGCATCAATCATATATTTCATACAGTCTTTTACCTGTACAGTATTCTGTTCCTTGTATCATATTCATAGCCATCTTAAACATACCTCTAGCATTTTGTTCATTCAAATGTTCCTTCTTACTTGTTGAGGAAATATACATCTCTAACAGCTTCTGCAACTACACAGGCATTCAAGAGTTAATCTCATTGAGCATTGTTAAATCTTAGCAGCATTTATTATCACATAAACATATGTCTATTCCTAGCCTATTTATTTATTTATTTATTTATACATATATGCATACATGCATACATACATACATACGGTACATACATACATACATACCCCGCTCTTCAGCCACAAAGGCTCTCAAAGAGTGGCTTACAGATAGTTAATTAGACATTTCCCTGCCCTCAGGCTTACAATCTAAAAAGACATGACACAAAAGGGAAAGGGAATGGCAGTGGGGAAGGGGAATAAGCCTAGCCTTTCAGTCCCAGCATTTTCCAGCATCTTGGGGTAGTTGATCAGCCTATTAGTCTATCAGGAACAGCACAGCTGTTATTAAACAGCTGTCTTCATAAGTCAGTGACATGCCTTACAGGCGGTCTAATTTTTGATTTCTGTCTTAACTCTTTTATTCTCTCTTTTGCCCATTCAGCAAAGATAAGTTGTCTTACCTCTATCCAATTAAAACAAAGATCACATCTATAACCACATCTGGGGGCCAGCAGAAGTCATAACCATCCTACTTGCCTAAAATAGTGCACTTTCAAGGAGGTTTGTTCACAGGTAGGCTAGTGTATGTGCTCGTCTCTTGACTACAATTGTGCAAGTGTTTTCATATCTTATTTACAATCCAGTGGCCTGACATTCTCCCCCAGACTGGAGCCAAAGATCATTGTGTAATTATTCTGAATGATACAGACACACACTTTTACAGATTTAACTCCTCACTTTAGTTCTTATGCTATATATTTTACAATACTAGATTACATTCTACAACAAAATTCAAAATACACATGCAGCAATACCTTTTTTGAGTCAACTTTAAAAATGTATAATACATTATGCAAGCTTTCAAAGCTTCACTGGTTTCTTCATCAAGCAAAAATGTTAAAAATCATACAGAAGAAAAATGGTGGTTATGGACCTTTACAGACGGCCAGAAATAATGCAGTTTGAGGCCACTTTAACTGTCCTGGCTCAGTGCTAAGGAATCATGGAAATTCTATTTTTTTCTGAGACATTGAGCCTTCTCTGTCAGAGAGCTCTGGTGCCACAATAAACTACAGTTCCCATGCACTGAATCAGGGCAGTTAAAGTGGACTCAATTTGCACTATTTCTGGCAGTCTGCAAAGGCCCTTAATTCTTTTAAGGCCCTTTGCCATCTAGGAGTGAAACACATAGATTTACAAGGAAAACAGGATTTCACCATTCTCTGAAGGTGCCAGCCACAAATTCAGGTGAAATTTCAGGAATACATGCTTCTAGAACAAGGTCTCACAGCCCGAAAAAACCACAAAAACCTATGGATGCCAGCTGTGAAAGCCTTCGA